TTCTTGATGTTTTAGGTTTTGACGTGGCCAAGACAGGTGATGCTCGAATTGGATTTGTGGGTTTTCCATCTGTGGGGAAGTCAACACTGCTAAGTAATCTGGCAGGGGTATATTCTGAGGTGGCAGCCTATGAATTCACTACTCTGACCACAGTGCCTGGTGTCATCAGATACAAAGGTGCCAAGATCCAGGTGAGTCGGGCCTACAGGCCAGTGTTGGGATGAAATCCATTCTTTCATTCACTTAAGAAGCACTCAGTAGGAGCTCACTGTATATCAGGCCTGAATTTCCATTTCTCAGGTTCTCTCTATTGTAAGAGATAAAGTGGTACTAAATATAATACAGTGTAGTACCTATGGAAACACAGAGAAAGAGGGGACTAATTTTTCTCCAGGAGATGGAAGAGAAAGGAGGTCCTGTGAGACAGTCAAAGAAGGCTTCATGTAGAAAGTGACATTGGAGGTGAGCCTTGGAATAGAATTTGACCAGGTCAAAAAGGGAGAGGAAAGAGCATTTCAGGTAGCAGTAATGGTGAGCAGCGTGCTGTGGTGTGAGTTTAAATGTGGGGTGGGAGTGGAGGGAGCTGAATTAGGAAGGGCCATGTGTGGCTGTTAAGGAAAATGTTTTTTTATCTGTGTATTGCTAGGAACCCTCAGATATTTTTTAAATAGGTAAATAAATGGTCAGATCATTTTAGAAGGCAGTTCTTAGTGGTCTGTAAACCTAATGTAAAGTTGGTCTCCTGAGAAGTTCTTAGATGATAGATTTAGGACTCCCAAATGAGAGGTCACTTTGAGTATGAAAGAAGTATATGTGAAATATAATGGAACATATTTTCTGGGCTACATGACTAAGAAAGGGGTCTGAACTCTTATGATACTTGAGTTTAGAGGTTTAATGTTGCAGTAATTATGCCATGATACGCTTAGTGTCTCATTGACTTTTTGTGGCATCCTTAGGCCAAAAGAAACACTAATAAACAGGTAGGCACAAAGAACTTAATGTCCTTATGGCAACAGTTATTTACTCATAGCATATTGTACCTGTTGGCTGCTGCACAGCCTTTCAAACTTTGGAATCAAATTGGACACTGCCACATTCATTTCTTTTTCCACAATGATTTTTATGTGTATTTCCTTTTTATCATAGCAACCACTGAGAAAGTGAAATTTACCATGATTCAGATAGACTGTAATGGAAAGCAGTGTAGTAGAATCTAATGTTTTAATTGTAAGCTACTTACAGTTGAAGTAAGCTGGTAGTTCACTTAGTGCTTGAAACACAATTGCTGTGTTTCTCTTGAAAATTTAGGAAATAAAAGTTCACTGTCGTGCTCCAGAATTTCTTGAGACACGGTTTGGAAACTGTGGATTTGGTTTTCTTTTCTTCCTTGCTGAGTTATGAGGTTCATTTTTGGTTCTTTCAGTGTAGAATCTGTACTTTTTAGTATAGAATACCACCAGTGTCCTGGTGGTATTGTGAATGGCCTTTTTCCTGCTGGTTAGATGCCCTTACAGAGACTGTTCAGACCTATCCCTTGCTGGAACCCCATTTCAAAATGTATCTTTTGTGATGGGATGCTATTGACATCCCTCTCAGGTTTTCTGAGTGTATAGGAATTAAAAGAGCTGCTCTCTCTCTTTCCCACAAAACCACCATTTGTTGCAGTCTCTTAGGATTTTATTTATCTATTTTTTGTTCTCTTTCCCACTCACCACCTCTGCCTCTTTTTTTTTCTCACCTTCTTTCTCCAAGTAGCTCTGGTGGCACAGTGGCTAAAGCATTTGGCTGCTAACCAAAAGGTCAGGTTTGAACCCACTAGCAGCTCTGTGGGAGAAAGATGAGGCAATCTGCTTTCATAAAGATTTACATCCTTGGAAATGCTATGGGGCAATTCTCCTCTGTCCTATAGGGTTGCTGAGTCGGGATAGACTTGATGGCAGTGGGTTTGGGTTTTCTGACTTTCCCCAGAAAGCAAGTTAAATACATATAAGTGAATGTACTTAACTGGATTGAGATGATTGCCTTCAGATGTTTTAAGAAAGGCTGTTTTGTGGCAGAACATTCATTCTCTGTGATTTGTGTTGGTAGGAGTACAGAATTAGAACCAATTAATAAGAATTATAAAACCCATTACCATCAAGTTGATTCTGACTTTTAGTGACCCTCATTGGATTTCCAAGGCTGTAAATCTTTATGGAAGTAGATTGCCTCATCTGCCTCCTGCAGAACAGCTGGTGGGTTTGAATCGCTGGCCTCCTGGTTGGCAGCCAAATGCCTTACCCACTATGCCAGAGTCCTTAATAAGAATTTTAAGGAAGGAGATTTCTACTTTGTGTAAGGAAGGCCTTTCTTAGTGTGTTGTTGTTGCTGTTAGCTGCTGTCCAGTCAGCCCCAACCCACATTCACCACATGCACAATGGAATGAAATGCTGCCTGGGCCATCCCCATAATTGGTGGTAGTTAGAACTGTTACGATCCATAGGGCTTTTGTTGGCTGATTTTCATAAGGAGATTGCCAGGGATTTCATTACCTGGTAGCCCTTGAGGTAAAGAACTGCTGTGTCTGGAGGTGTTCATGTAGTGGCTGAACCACCATTTACCAGCAGCGTTGCAGAGGGGAGTTACGTATCGCGTTGGCTGCACAGTGTTTTGAAGTATTTGAGTTTGAATACCTTCAGGCACTATCTTAGTTATCTAGTGCTTCTATAGCAGACATGCCATAAGTGGGTGGCTTTAACAAACATTTATTTTCTCAAATTTTAGGTGGCTAGAAGTTTGAATTCAGGGTGCCAGCTCTCAGGGAAGGCTTTCTCGGTTGGCTCTAGAGGAGAAGGCCTTGTCTCTTCTGAGCCTTGGCTCCTGGGTTAGCTTCAGGTGGCCTGACATCTCTCTTCCCCCATCTATGCTTTTTCACTTTTATCTGGAAAGAGATTGACTTCACATACACTCTACACTAATCCTGACTCATTAACATAGCAAAGACGTTGTGCCATCCAGTCATCTCCAACTCCCAGTGACCTTATGTACAACAGAACAAAATATTGCTGAGTCCTGTGCCAGCCTCACGAACCCTACTGTACCTGAGCCCATTGCTGCAGCCACTGTGTCAATCCATCTTGTTGAAGGCCTTCTCCTCTTTTGTTGACCCTCCACTTCACCAAGCATGACATCCTTCTCCAGAGAATGGTCCCTTCTGACAACATGACCAAAGTAGGTGAAAGGAAGTCTGGCCATTCTCACTTCCAAGGAACATTCTGGCTGCACTTCTTCCAGGACAGATTGAGTTCTTTTAGCAGTCCACGGTACTTTCAGCATTCTTCACCAACACCACAACTCAAAAGCATCAACACTTCTTTGGTCTTATTCTTCGTCCAGCTCTCACATACATATGAGACAATCAAAAATACCATGGCTTGGGTTAGGTGCATCTTAGTCTTCAAGGAGATGTCTGCTCTTCAGCACTTGAAAGAGGTCTTTGGCAGCAGATTTGCCCAATGGAATACGTCTTTTGATGTCTTGACTGCTGTTTCCATTGGTGTTGATTATAGAACCAAGTAATATGAAATCTTTGACAACTTCAGTCTTTTCTCCACAAAGACATAGAGGTTAGGATTTACAACACATATTTTTAGGGGACACAATTCATTCCATACAGACAGGAGTCTCAGAACGCCTTTGGTTCTGTACAGCATTGATTTACACATTTAAGTTAACCTGCTTTAGTCTTTAAAGGCATTTGAGTTTTAAGTATTTTGACATCCATTTCTTAATCCATGGTTTAAAGAAATCTTTTTTTCTTATCTCTTGGTTGGTGGTAATCAGACATATTTTTATATCAGACATATTTTCATCAGACATTGGCTATTTTTATTGAATGAATAGTTGCTACATTTGGACAGTTTGTCTTAACTTTTTATATATTTCTCTCAAGAAAAGCTAAGTTGAAGTTTTTACTTTTGTGGGGGCTCAGTAAATTTCATTGTGTTAAGTTGCTGGAGTGATAAAGCCCTTGCTATTTTCCCCTCCATGTAATATTCTCTCCTTTGGATGGTCTTTTATGTGACATTATAGTCATATTCCAGATTTGGAAAATTTAGATTATCCACATGGATTTTCCTTTCGAGTTCTTGATAGCGTAGTTAGACTTGATGTGTAATGAAGCCTTTTTCTGATAATATACTTTTTTTTTTTTTTTTAAATAGCAGAAATGGGTTTACTCAATGGTAGAGGTAGTTATAGAATCATTAGAATGGCTGAAGAAACAGATTCTAGACTTAATTTCTAGGAACAACTCATGATAAACTTTTTGTTTCTTAAAATATCTTTATGGTGGTTTAATTCACTTATAGTAAACTATACAGATTTAGAGCGTATAATTTGTTAACTTTTGACATAAATATATAACCCACTGCCATCAATTCAATTCCTCCTCATAATGACCCAGTGGGACATAGTAGAACCATAGGGTTTCCAAGGCTCTAAATCTTTACAGAAGCAGACTGCCTCAGCAATTTCCCACAGAGCTCCTGGTGGATTTGAACTGCTGACCTTTTGGTTAGCAGCTAAATACTTCAACCATTGCACCACCAGAGCTCCTTTTGACATATATAGTATGTATCTATATGTATTCTGTATATATATGTGTGTGTGTGTGTGTGTGTGTATAATCAGTGAAATCTTCAACATAGTCAAGATTGTGAACATACATGTCACCCCGAAAGTTCCCTCATGCGCCTTCCCTTTTGTTCCTCCCTGCCTCTCCATCCCCAAGCAATCACTGCTTTGCTTTTGTCACAGTACAGTAGTTTGCATGTTAAAGAGTTTTATATAAATAGAACTATATATAAATTTATACTTTTTTTTTTTTGAAGGGGCTGGCAGTCAGCATAATTAATAATGATAAACTTTTAATTTCCCCATGGAGCCCCTCCTACTTTGTATTAGCCGTAAGTTTGAATTAATTTTAGACTTAAAGAAAAATGGCAAAATGGCAAAAATAGTACAGGGAATTCTCTTATGTCCTTTATCTTTATCTTGCTTCCCCTCGTGTTAACACTCTTATATTATGGAAAAATTATCACAGATAGGACATTAACATTGGTACAGTAATCATCACTAAACAGTGGTAAAACTTCCAATTTTTACCAATTTTCACCCATGTCCTTTTTCTAGTCCAGGATTCTGTCCAGGATCATTCCGTAATAGCAATGGGTGATATTGCAGAATCTCCCTCAGTTTGGATTGTCCGATGTTTTCTCATGATTTGATTGAGGTCTTAGGCATTTTTAGCAAGAATACCACAGAACTGATGTGTCCTCAGTTCATCATATGGGATTCATTATGTGGAAACATATATGTAGATACATGTTTTATTTCTGATGATGTTGACCTTGATCATTGGTTAAGATGGTAACTGCAGGCCTTCACTGTAAAGTCATTTTGTTGTAGTTGACATAAATATTTTGGGAGTAATACTTTGAGAAGATGCAGTCATATTTCTCCCTAAACTTTTCCCCACTCATTTTCATATCCATCTGTGGATCTTCGCTGCAACAGTTGTTACTCTGGTTTTTATGTACTGCTGATTCTTTATTTCCTGCTATGTTTATTAATCAGACTTCTGTTACAAGGAAGCTTTTTGAATTTGAATACCTTCAGGCACTACCTTAGTTATCTAGCTGTCTGGTGCTTTCTCCCCTGCTTATTTACTTACTCAACAATTTATATTAATATGGACTCAAGGATATTTTTTTCCTATAGGTTGTAATCCATTGTTACCCTCACTTTATGACTCAATCGCTCAAATCGTTCCAGCTTTGAGCAATAGAAACTCCTTTAGTGTTCTGTGGCTCCTGTGTTCTTCTCATAAGCCCCTATCTTCTTGTGAGCACTTCCTTATTTTCTGGTGCCACAAGATATTCCAGGCTAATCTTATTTTTCCCCTGCCCCAGCCTTGCGTTAAACTGCTTCTCCAAGGAGCCTTGGTTTCTTTCATTGGAGAATGGTGTTTGGAAATCAAGGTATGGGTCTTGGGGGTGCTTATTACTTCTTACGTAGTCTTTTGGACCAGGGTATGCAAAGTTTCCAGATCCAGGCAAGTATGTTCAACAAAAATTACCATCTTTTTCTTTTTTGAAAGAGTGAAAAACAAAACAAAAAGACTGTCGTCGCTGAGTCAGTTCCGATTTACGATGACTCCATGAGTGTCGGGGTAGAACTGGGTCCATAGGGTTTGCAGTGGCTGATTTTTTTTGGGAAGTGATTGCCAGGCCTTTTTTCCAAGATGTCTCTTTGTGGACTCCAACCTCCAGCCTTTCAACAGCTGAGCTCTTAACTGTTTGCACCACCCCGTGACTCCTTGAAAGCATAAAGGTAGCTAAAGTTGCCAAACGTGTTATATCATGCTGTTTCTAATGCAGTGAGGAAAAGGGAGGAACTCTTCAGTAGAGACTTGGATGGTGAGATTGAGCTGGCAAGCACCTTCTGAATTAGTTCTTTTATGCCCCCATTTTTGTTGAGATGAAATTGACATAACAAAATTAACCACTTTAAAGTTAACAGTTAGTGATGTTTCGTATGTTCACTGTGTTGTGCAGCCATCACTTTTGTCTGGTTCCAAAACATTTTCACCACCTCAGCATGTGCTGTGGAGTTGTCTTTGATGATGTCATCAGAGTAGCTTCTGTGAAGTTTTACTTTACTCCATGTCCTAGGCTGTTGAAAAAAACAGTCACTCACTCACTGCCACTGAGTCGATGCCAACTCATAGCAACCCCTCCTTGGGTTTCTGAGGCAGTATCTCTGTGGAAATAGATTGCCCACTCTTCCTTTCAGGGAGTGGCTGGTGGGTTTGAACCGCCAGCCTTCTGGTGAGCAGTCAGATGCCTTGGGCACTATGCCACCAGAGCTCCTGGGCGATTGAACAGTCATTCTCAATTGGGTATACAAATCAGGAGTTACCAGTGGAACCTTTTGAAGTACAGCTTGATACCTGAGCCCTACTTTGGCCCTTCCAAATCAGAATTTGCAGGTGTGGGCTCAGTTGTCTCCTTTCTTAAAGGTTTTCCAGGTGATTCTGATGTGCTGTCCTGCTCAAGAACAGCTGTAGAGATAACTGAATTGGAAAGCTTGGGAGATTTGCAAGGGTCTCAGTATATGCTCACCTAACTAACCATTATCTACAGTAAAGAATTAGTGAGGTGGCTCCACCTTCCAGAAAGTAGGGGGCTACGGGAAGATGTTAATGTAGAATAATGGATTTGACCCCCAAAAAACAGGGTATAGTCTTAGTTCTATCATTAGTTTACTAGGCTTGTGACTCTGGCCAGATCACTTAACCTGTGTGAACCTAGCTAATACTTTGCATCTCACGGGGCTGTTAGGTCTTTTGAACAGGTAAAACATATTAAAAGCTCTGTAGGTGGCATTGAGTAGATGAGGGAAAGTAATGTTCACATGATTACTGAGGGGGAATATTGGATTTGGATCTCCTAAATTTTGGAACTTGAGGAGAAAGAAATATACTTAATCTGTTCAGATTGATAACGGGTTTTTCTTTCTTCTCCTGTCCTTAATCTTGCAGCTGCTGGACCTCCCGGGTATCATTGAGGGTGCCAAGGACGGCAAAGGTAGAGGCCGCCAGGTCATCGCAGGTGAGCAGCCCGAGGCTGTCCTTCCAGGGCATCGTCCCCTCACCTCTTCCCTTACCTGGTACTGTTACGGTAACGAGGGACTTTTGGGCTCGGAGATTATACCACACGGAAGGGCATAGTTTTACCTGATTTCTCACTGGGGTAGAATGTCAGGACTTGAAGGGATCTCACAGAGTGACACCCTGGATGCCCCATCTGAGCAGAAACAAAGATGGGAGCAGTGAAGTGCTTTGGCCAGCTCCCTGTATGGTGGAGTCAAACTAGACTCAAGTCTCCTGACTCCCACCGACACCTGTCCTTTCTTTAAAAGGGAAATATGAAATAAATGGCATCAGTCTGCTGCCCCACCTGTCTTCACCCTTGCTGTCACTCCGCAGGGGCAACTCTTGTTAACTCTTGAGCTGTTCCTTCTATGACTTTGCCTTCCTATTTCTAAATATTAGGCTTCTGTTGCTATTTCATAGTTAATAATATTTTTTTGCTTTTATTTTGTTGTGAGACTGTACACCAATTGAACAGTTTCCGCGTGTACCATTTAGTGACATTGATTACGCTCTTCGGGCCGTATAACCGTTCTCATCCTCCTTTTCTGAGTTTTTTCTTCTCCGTTAACATACACTCAGCGCCCTGTAAGGTTCTTGTCTAAGCTTTTGAGTTGCTGTTAATAGGATCCCACATAGAGGAAAGAGCATAATGGTGAAGGCAGACACTCTTGGCTGGTTGAGCTAAACTATCGTTTGGTTTCAAGAAGACTTCAGGGAATGTTTTTCATTTAAGGTTTAAAGATTGTCTCGGGATTGTTTTGTTTTTTTTCCCTCTGTTAATTTTGCTGGCTGTTTGATGGCCCCAGTCAGTATGAGACTTGTATCTTTCCTTTATGGGAAATTTCCCTGTTTACTTTGATAATTTCCTCTCTGTTTTCTGGATTCATTCTTTATGGAATGTCTATTAATAGGATATTGGATCTCTGGATTGGGTTTATAATTTTATTTTTTTATGTACTTTTGTCTTAGTCTTATTTCTCAACTTTATCTTCTAATCCTGCTATTTAAAAAAAATTCTGTTATATTATTTTCACTTTCTAAGACTTACTCCTGCCTTTGGTTCTTTTTTGTTGTTGTTGTTGTTGTTGTTGTTATGTGCCGTCGAGTCAGACCTGATTCATAGCGAACCCTCCTTGGGTTTCCAAGGCAGTATCACTGCGGAAGTAGATTGCCCCATCTTCCTTCCGAGTGGTTCTTTTTTACAGCATCTTATTCTTGTTTCATGGCTGCATTGTTAACGTGCTCTGTCCAGGACGCCTGTGACTTTCCCCTTCTCAAACCTAATTGTCATTTCATTATCCATGTCTTTCTTGAGAAAATGCCATAGTTAATCAATCACTCTCTCCTTGAAATATTTTCTTCACTTTTTTCCTGGGATCCGCTGCTCCTTCCTGGTTTCTTTTGCTTGATCTGCCATAACTTCAGGATCTCTGACACTTTGATTGCCCAGGACCTCGTCTTGGGGATTCTTTCTTCTCTGTGTTCACTCTGAGTATTATAGCTTCTAGTTCCATGGCTTCAAATGTTTAGATATATATTCTAGTGATGGTGAAATATATAGTAGCACCTCTCCCTCTCTTGTGAATTTCGACTAACTGCCAGTGTAGCTCTGTGTAAATAGCTAGTAACCAAAAAAACCCAAACTCACTGCCAGAAAGTCGGTTCTGATTCATAGGGACCCGTTTGAATTTCCGAGGTGGTAAATCTTTATAGAAGTAGATTGCCCCATCGTCTTCTGTGGTGTGGCTGGTCGAGGTGGTAAATCTTTACAGAAGTAGATTGCCCCATTTTCTTCTGTGGTGTGGCTGGTGGGTTTGAACCACCAACCTCTGGTTAGCAGTCCCAGTAGGCATCTCAACTTTAGCATGTCTAAAACTGAGCTCTTGATTTCCTGTCCCCAACTTTCTTTTCCCTCAATGTTTCCCATCTCAGTAAAGGACAAATACATCCCTCAAACCTTTTAGGTCAAACACCTTTTTATCTCATCTTCCACATCTGGTACATTAACATTCCCTGTTGGCCTTACCTTTGAAATATATCTGAAATCAAGCCATTCTCTTCTTATTTGTGCATTTCTGTTTCTGTCCTCAAATGCAGATGGTTGAGTTAATTTTATGCTTCAGTTCGTGGCACATTTTCATCACAGGTCTGTGTAAGGCTGTCTCATTTATTTATCTCTACACTTGCTTCCTTTCCCTCCCTCTTAGGCAGCCATTCTAATGTGTTTAATGTTTACTTTATGTAGATAACAGCAGCAAAATGTATCACTGTCTTGTTCATATATATTTTGAGTTTTGCCTCATTCTCTTTCTCACTTCTTTCTGCTAACACTAACCTGCTGTCCCTGAAGGCGTCCTTGAACTCCATGGTATGCATCACCACATTGCATCTGTCCATATTCCTAGTTAGGATGATCCCTGTAGCCTCAGTCACCACAGCTAATGATGTAAGACAGCTTCACACTTGGCTCCTTTAGGAAAAATGGGAACAATTTTTTGGGATATAGAAGCACGAACAGAACTGCTGGGTCACCGGATACACATAAATGGCAGTTGACAAAGAGATGAGGGAATGTGCTCTCCAGAGTGGCTCCAGGCCACCCACCAGCTTCCTTTCTTCCCACCTCTGTCCACACTGTCCAGCCCTCTGAGTTTCGATAATGGGATAGATGTGAAGTGGTAGCTCTTGTTTTTATTTGCATTTCTCTGATGGAAATAAATGATTTTTAGAACATCATAGCATGCGCTTACTAGTTTGGGGTTTTCTTCTTTGGATGTTATTGATAACTTTGGTTCATTTTTTATTTAGGATTGCTGTCTTTCTCTTACTTTTCAGGAATTTCTCTTATATTCTAGCTCTACACTGTCCAGTATGATAGCTCCTTTAATTAAAATGCAATAAAATTTAAAATTCAGTTCTTTAGTCACATAAGCAACATATTAAGGAGTTCTGGTGGCACAGTGCCTAACGCATTTAACTGTTAACGAGAAGGTTCACTGTTCAAACCCACCAGCCGTTCTGTGGAAGGAAGATGGAGCACTGTGCTTCCATAAAGATTTACTGCCTTGGAAACCTAGTGGGGATCTCTGTGAGTTAGAGCTGACTTGATGGCAATGAGTTTGATTTTTTTGTTGTTGTTGTTAAATTGTCTACCATATTGGACAGCACAAGTTATGGAATTTTTCCATTATAACAGGAAGTTTTATTTGACAGCTCTGCTCTAGATACTAATTCTTTGCCTATTTTAAACATTGCCAATCTGTTAATTTGGGCCAAGGTAATCTTTATGGGATAGAAATCCTTAATTTTGATGGAATTATATAATTCACTCTTTCTTTCCTTGTGGTTTGTACATTTGAGGTTTTATTTAAGAAGTGCTTCTCTTTCCTTAGGTCATAAATATATTCTCTTTTTTTCTGTAATGTTAGGTCCCTTATCTACCTTGAGTCTCCTCTTACGTGTAGTATTAGAAGGGGATGCATTTTTTTTTTTGGTCTGTAATGAGCACCATCTTACCTTTTTCCTGATGATTTTCACCATCTTTAACCATCGCAGGTGCTGGTGCCACCGTGCTCCAGGCTGCCATCACGCCTTGCCGACACTAATGTCACAGCCCTGTTACTCTGCTTTGTCTTTGCTGCTGTGTGGTCCTTTTGGCTGAAGCTACAACAATTACATTTTAAGTCAGATCATGTCATTTCTCAGCTAGGAACCTTCCCTTGCCTTTTCCATATTTGGAATGAGACCCAAAGTCCTTTTTTTTCCCAAAAAAATTTTTATTGTGAAAGTTTACAGAGTAAATTCATTTTCCATACAGCAGTTCATATACATTTTGTTTTATGATACTGACTGCAATTCCCCACAACATAACTGCTCTCTTCTCATTTCCTGCCTGTGTTCTTCTTCCATATGTATTTCCTGCCCCCTGAGCTGTCTCTCCCTGTGCAAATACTGCACTTCTGTTCTGTGAATGAGTGTTCTTAGGATTGTTGTAGCTGGAATAAATATTTACCCTGTCTGTTGCTTAGCTATAGGGGTGAGTTTAATTCCAGGCTTGAATGGTAACTAGGGGCCATAGTCTCAGGGGTCTCACCAAGGTCAGTCAGACCAGTAAACCTCGTCTTTTTTATGATTTTGAGTTTTGTTCCACATTGTTCTCCCACTCTATCCAGGATCTCCTGCACTGATCCCTTTCTGAGTGGTTGACAGTGGTAGCCAGGTACCATCTAGTTCTGAGATCCAAACTCTTTATGTTAGCTTCCAGATCATAAATGACTTGGCCCATAGATACCGTGCTGACTAATCTCTTTCCCTATAACTCTTCTTCTTAATTACTGGGCTTTAGCCATCACTGGCCTCTTGGCTATTCCTTGAACATATCAAACATTGGATTGCCTCAGAGTTTTGGGACTTAACTATTTTTGCTGTCTACAGTGTTTTTCTGTAAACCATGTTGTTGTTAGTGCCATCGAGTTGGACCCGACTCACAGCGACCCCTTCTTGGGTTTCTGAGGCAGTATCACTACGGAAGTGGATTACCCAACCTTCCTTCCGAGGAGTGGCTGGTGAGTTTGAACCGCCAGCCTTCTGGTTAGCAGTCAAGTGCTATGCTACCAGAGCTCCTCCTCTGTAAACCGTATGAACCATAAACAATATAGAAAAATTTCCTTTCACACAGACTTCCCATTCCAATGGTATGAGACAGTAGTAAATAAATTAACAATTAGGATAGTCAGGAAAATACTGTCTGAGGTGATAGTTCTACTAAATCCTTCTACTAAATATCATCTTAGATGGTATTTTCCTGACTATCCTATATGAAATGATGAGTCAAAATCAAACTAGCAACGGGTTTGTTTTTGTTTTTACCCGAAACCTTTTTTTTTGGCCTTTTTCATCAGCTGACTCATAGTCATTTGTTAATTTATTTATTACTGTCTCATACCATTGCAGTGGAAAGTCTGTGTGAAGGGGGATTTTTCTATATTGTTTATAGTTGACTCTTCAATAAATACTTGTTGAATTTATAAAGAAATTTCTGAGGGCAGTGGTGGGTCAGTGGTAGAATTCTCGCCTTCTGTGTGGGAGATCTAGGTTCAATTCCTGTCCTTAAGCACAGATGCCACTTGTCTGTCCATGGAGGCTTACCTGTTATGATGCTGAACAGTCTCAGTGGAGTTTCTAGGCTAAGACCAGGAAGAAAGTTCTGGTGGTCTGTTTCCAAAATAGGCCAGTGATAACCCTGTGGATCACAGTGGTTTGATCCTGTTGTACAAGGGATAGCCATGAATTGGGGACTCACTTAATAGCAGCTAACAACAACTGAACATATGATTGGTAGACATTTTTTAAAACCTTTTCTTCAGCCTCCCTTTATGGTTTCTATTTTTGCTAGTCTTTTTTATGCTTTATTTTGTTGTCTAAGGAGCCCTGCTGGTGTAATGGTTATGACATCTGGCTGGTAACCAAAAGGTCAGTGGTTCAAACCCACCAGCTGCTCGGTGGAAGAACGATGAGGCAGTCTGCTTCTGTAAAGGTTTATAGCCTTGGAAACCCAGTGGGAGTTGCTATGAGTTAGAATCGACTTGATGGCAGTGAGTTTGTTTTTTGGTGTTTTGGTATCTGTCTTTCGTCTTGGAAGCTCTCTTCTCAGACATCTGGTGATCCTTGGTATTCTGTTTAAAAAATGAGGAACTGGGAAACTGATGGGACGCTCATTACTGAGCGGGCATTTGGGCGGATGATCGTTACTGTAGGGTGAAGATGGTACAGTGAGCCAGCTTTCTTGGAGGGAAGCTCCTAGATGTTGCTAACAATAGGTTCTCTTTATTTTCCTCCCCTCGGGGCTAGCCAGGAACTCCATAGAAAAATACCTATGATCTCTGCTTGGAGGGTATTGTGTGTGTCCTGGGAGGTAAGCTGGAAGCAGGGGATGGAGGGGCTCTGGGGACTCCGACTGTTTAGACTGTAGCCTTCAGCTACACTTCCCTCTTTTCAGCCGATGGTTTCATTGTTGTGCTCCTTAGGCCCGAGCCTGAACCCCAGTGGCACTTCTGTCTTAAATCTTAGGTCTCTTTAGAAAGAGTCAGTTCGGCAGAACCGCGTTTCCATTTCCAGCTTCTTTTTCAACTTTTGTACTTTACATGCTGTGTTACCTGTTCAGGGTTCCTGTGTGTTTTCATGTTACCATCAAGAACCACACTAGGACATATGTTAGCTTTGTTTTTTTTTCCTCCCCCAAACCAGCCTTTATAATTACTGACTTTTTTTTAAGGGTCTGAAAGCTCTAAATTGGGCATGGATTTCTTCTAAAGGGTTGCTCATATTGCCATGGCTTTGTGGTATTATGTGCTGTCAGTCAATCCTGACTCGTGGTGAGTCTGCTTCATAGGCTTCCTAGGTTGTAATCTTAATGGGAAGGTGCTCTGGTGGTGCTGTGGTTAAGGCACTGGGCTGCTAACCAAAAAATAGGCGGTTCGAACTCAATAGGCACTGCCACTCCATGGAGAAAAGTGAGGCAGTCTACTTTCGTAAAGATTTACAGCCTTGGAAACCTGATGGGGGTCTCAATGAGCTTTGGTTTAATCTTAATGGGAGGTCAGCAGTCAGGCATTTTCTCCTGCAAAGTGGCTGGTGGGTTTGAACCACCAGCTTTTTAGTTAGCAGCTGAGTGTTAACCATTGTGCCACTTGGGCTCCTTTGTAGCCTTACAGTTTTCTGTAAACGTGAAACAACACAGCACTAGAGTAGATATTTTCAACTCCATTTTGGGCTTTTGGAAGAAGCTTTTACCCTGAGCTTTTTTATTCTGATTTATGTCTGATGTTCCAGGCTAATACTAATAATGTCCCCTTTCCTTCTCAAAAATTTCATTGCTTGGGTAAGAAATTACATAATCTCATCAGTATTTTTTTTTTTTAAGTTATTGTTTGAATTTTAACCGGCATGGTTTACTTTTTTGATAAAAAAAAAATAATAAGATGTCAAAACAACTACAAAACTCTCAGAATCTTTGATTAACTGTTGTTCTGTAGAGTCTGATTAAACCCCAACGGGATACAAAATCTTTGCTATCTTGAGATACACAAAGATTTCTTAGATGGAACACTTAAAATCACAAACCATGAAAGAAACAGTTGATAAATTGCACATTATCAGAATTAAAACTTTTTTCAAAAGATATACTTAAAATGTAACAGCATCTCACATATGGGGAGAAAATATTTGCAACATGCTTATCTGACAAAGGACTTAATTCTGAATACATAAAAAAACTTTTATATTTTGGTGGTAAGGAGACAACCTAATAAAAAATGGGCAAAAGAGTGAACTCAAGATGCATGAATGCCCAGTAAGCACATGGAAAGATGTGCAACATCATTGTTCATCAAGGAAATGCAGATTAAACCACAGTGAGATGTCCCGCACTAGAATGGCTAAAATTAAAAAAGGAATAATACCAAAGTTTGGGAAAGATGGGGAGCAATTGAGATTGTCCATGGCTGCGATGGGAGAGTAAAATCATAAACACCTTGGAAAATGGGGTAGCAGTTTCTTATAACCTATACCTACCATGTTATGTGCCGTTGAGTCGGACCGACTCATAGTGACCCCTCCTTGGGTTTCCGAGGCAGTATCACTACGGAAGTAGATTGCCTCAATCTTCCTTCCAAGGAGTGGCTGGTGGGTTTGAACCGCCAGCCTTCTGGTTAGCAGTCAAGTGCCTTATATGACTCAGAAATCCCACTTCTTGTGTTTACCCAGGAAAAATGAAAATGTATGCCACAGAAAGACTTACACATGAAATTCCTAGTAGCATTGGTCATAATGATCTGAAATTGTATAAACAATCCAAGTGTCTATTAACAGATGAACGGATAGGCAAATTGTGTGTCCATAAAATGGAGCACCTCTCAGTAATATAAGGGATGATTTCCTGATACATACATAACATGGGTGACTCAGAAACAGCATGCTAAGTTAAAAGAGCCACAAAAGACTGCATACAGTATGATTCCACTTAGATGGAATTCTAAAAAGTGCAAACTAATTTGTGGTGACAGAAAGCAGATGAGTGGCTGGGAGTAGAGGGGACAGCTGAGTGCAAGGGGGCACACGGGAACTTTTGGAGATGATGGGAAGATCCTGTATTTACTTGCTGTGCTGATTGCACCATTGTATACATTTGTCATCAAACTGTATTTAAAATAGATACAATTAATTGTTTGTAAATTATTCCTCTATAAAGTTGTAATGACTTCAAGACACCTATTGTAAATTGACTTCTGGAAAGAATTTTTTTGTAATCTTAAGGACTGTGGGGGGTGGTTTACCAAAATCTTTGTCTCTTTAATGTAGGATAAAAGCTCTCTTGCTGTGAGTATTTGGGTTAGTTAAGGCTTTATTGACCTCTGCTTGAGTATAAACTCTTTCCCCCAATTCTTCAGTGGCCCGAACCTGTAACTTGATCCTGATTGTTCTGGATGTCCTGAAACCCTTGGGACATAAGAAGATAATCGAAAACGAGCTAGAAGGCTTTGGCATTCGATTGAACAGCAAATCCCCCAACATCGGCTTTAAGAAGAAAGACAAGGGCGGCATTAATCTCACGGCCACTGTAAGTGGGGAAGGCAGCGAGAGGCAGGGTGCTAAAGGGATGGGGTGGGGAATGGATTGACACTGACATTTGGAAATTGACTGGCTTCTTTACTAATTAAGGAGTGCTGGTGGTGTAGTGTTGAGCTGCTAACCAAGAGGTCAGCATTTCTAATCCACCAGCTGCTCCGTGAGAGAAAGATAAGGCAGTTTGCTTCTGTAAAGATCTACAGCCTTGGAAACCTATGGGACAGTTGGGCTCTGTCCTGTAGGGTTGCTATGAGTTGGAATCCACTTGATGGCAGTTAGTGTGGTTTTTTTGGTTTTCTGTGCTAATTAAGCTAACACAATTACCTTGAAAAGACTGAGGAAAAAGATAATAAGAATAGGACAGAGGTCAGTCTCAGACTTACCTTGGCAACTTCATTTCCTCTTTTGGGTTATCTATTTGGAGCCATAGGGGCATGTGGACCATCTTATACTTGCATGAAGTAGATGTTGTCAGTATTATGTTTTCATTCATTCAGTGGAAATTCACAGAGCATCTGCTATTGGGCAAGCATTGTTTTAGGCTCTGGGGATGTAACGGGGAGCAAACAAAGTTAATGAGTGAAATACAGGGGGTATCAGGAGATGATAAATCTAAGGACAAAGTAAAGTAGGAAAAAGGGATAGGAAAGGAGTATTGATGTGGAGGCTGTAGTTTTAACTAAGGTGATCAGGGAAAACTTCATTGCATTTACATGAAGGTGTGAACCAGGTGAGTGTCTTGGAGGAGATCATTTCGTGAAGAGAGAATATTGAATGTGGAGGCACTGTGTGGAGGCACTGAGGTAGAGCGTGCCTTTGCATGTTTAAGAAATAGCGGAGTGAGTAAGTGGATGAAGTCCTAACATACGGCCACATATGCTTTGACTTTGCGTTCTGACCCACAGAATAAATATATGTTGACCTCATTTTGTTTCTGTTATTGTTGTGAACTACATACATAACAAAGTTTGCCATTTTAACCATTTTTTTTTTTTTTTTTGATGCAAAAGCAGGAGGAGTTTATTCGAGGTACCAGCGCGCTGGGGCCCGACTCATATCCCACGCAAGGGCAGAGGAGTTGAGCAGCCAGCAACAAAGTTACACAGTATTTAAAGGCAAAACCACAAGGGGGTGGTCAGAGAGAGAGAGTACAGCTGATTGCATTTTAACCATTTTTTAGTGTACCTTCAGTGACAGTTACATTTACCATCTTGGGCTATCATTAGCACTGTATGTTTCCAAAATCTCAAACAGAAACTCAGTGCTCCTTCAGCAGTAACTCCCATCTGTTCTCCCTGCAGCCTCTGGTAACCACTGATAAACTTCTGTCTCCTTGCGTTTGCCTATTCTGGATACTTCATATAAATGGGAGCATACGATACTTGTCCTAGTGTCTGACTTATTTTACTCAGCATAATGTTTTCAGTGTTCATCTGTATCATAGCACATACCAGAATTTCCTTTCTTTTTATGACTGAATAATATTCTATGGTATGGATAGACCACATTTTATTTATCTGTTCATCTGTTTATGGACACTGGGGTGGTTTCCACATTTTTGTGAATAACAAATAATGCTACCGTGAATAATTGTGTACAGATATGTCTGATTCCTTTTCGTTGTCCAATCTCTTGGGTATATACCTAGAAGTAGAAATTCTAGGTCGTGTTGCACTTCTGTGTTTAATTGTTTGAGGAACTCTGAAGCTGTTTTCCATAGTAGTTGCACCATACACATCCACCAGTAATGCGCAAGGGTTCTAATTTCTTCACATCCTTGACCAACACATTTGTTGCCATTTTTCTGATAGTAGCCATCCTAGTTGGTATAAAATGTTGACTTAGGTATTAATGGGATCATACTGCCTGTTGTGTTAAGAATAGACTGGAAATGGGGTAAGGAGAAAAGCAGAAACCATTTAAGGAGGTTGTTGCAATAATCCAGACAAGAAATGGTGGCTTCTTATACCAGGGCAGTAACAGTGAGGAGGAGCAAGTGATTGATTCTGGAAGGATTTTGAAAGTAACTGATAAAAGTTACAGATGGATTTGTTGTGAGTTGTAAGAGAAAGTCAGAGATGACCATACTTTTTTTACCCTGAGCTAGAAAAATAGTGGTGTCTTACCAGCCGAAATGGTGAGACATCGGATAGAACAGGTTTGGAGGGGAGGGGGATATCAGAGTGTTAAGTTTGAGATGTCAGTTGTCAATTAGACATCACAGTATTACTGTCGAGTAGGTATGTAAATTCAGAGGAATGATCTGGACTAGAGTTAAAACTTTGGTGGTCATCAGCTTGACAGTCATGAGCCTAGCTGAGATCACTAAAGAGTGAGTATTAATGGAAAAGAAAAGAAGTTAAAGGATTGAACCCTGACCTTCCCATGATTATAGGCTGAGAAATGGGAAACCTCAGCAAATCTGATTTCTCACACAAAGTGGAGATTGGGGATTCCAAACTAGAAGAGTTTGGAATCCTGGAAATCAAGTAAAAGAAAGTGTTTAAGTAGGAAGGAGTGATCAGTTCTGTTAAATGCGGCTTCTAGGTTGTATAATTGAGGACTGAGAATTTTCTACTAAATTGAACATTCTAGAGGTCCACGTGATTTGACTGGCACATGTTTAAGCTGGCCCACCTAAAAGATCTTTGCCATTATCCTATTACGTTTGAAATTCTAGCATTCAAGGTTCCTTCCTTTGAGTTTAAACTAAAAGCTTTACTTTTCATGCATTGCCTACTAAAGGCCATCTCTCCTCCAGGGTAGCAGTCTTTGGAAATGAGTTTGCACTTCAGTTGGAATTGTCCTAGTAGTATGCACTCTTGGGAGATCGTTGGTTCTCTGACCATTCATTGTCTTTTTGGCCCATTCAGTGCCCTCAGAGTGAGCTGGATGCTGAAACCGTGAAGAGCATTCTGGCTGAATACAAAATTCATAATGCTGACGTGACTCTGCGTAGTGATGCCACGGCTGATGACCTCATTGATGTGGTGGAAGGGAACAGGTACTGGGCTAGTGTGCAGTCTGGTGCCTGAGTTTGAGTTTGTAGCTTTGTAAAGGAAATAATATTGAAACATCAATTGGACATTGATTCTAACCATAGTTGTGCTGCTATCTCAAATAATAGTGGGATTTTGGTTTCTTTAGCTGTAAAGTGAGGTGTTAGTCTTGATTTCTTACATCCTTCCTTCTGCTGAAATTTGATTATGATGATGAAATTTACCATTTCACTTACTTGCTGTGAACTAGGCTGTCTGCTAAGCTGCTGTGTTGTGTGGCAGTTAAAGAGAGTAGGTTCTCCCTGCACTCCCAGAAATAATCCTTCTGAGAAACCTTGTAGACTGCCTTACAGAACTGAGGACAGACTGGGCCTGGTCTGTTCTCTCACTTTGCGGGAATGCAGCTGAATACTTACAGGAAATATTACTACTATTAAAATTTTAGGTTTTAAGCCACTGTTAAAATTATTCCTGGCATTTTGATAAAATATTTTCCAGTTGCAGTTCCTATGCATTTGTTCCTATATGTTGGATGAATTTATTTGTTCCTCATTTGAAATCAAAAGCCAACACTCTGAGTTATGCATTTTACAAGTGAGATAGCTGGACCCTAAGAAGTTGCAGCTTGTCTAATTATTAGAAACCAGTGGCCATTAAGAACGTGACAAACATTGATAGATGCTGTGTTTTCCAAAAAAAAAAAAAAATTGTTTTTTTAGCCTGTAAAAATTACCATAAAATATGTTAAAAATTATACTTACATTCTTATAATTCTTGAAATAACTTTGCAGGAAACTGATTTTGAGAGAGTTTAAATGATTTCCCGGGATACATATGTAGAAAGTGACAGTTGGAATTAGAATCTGTCTTTGTGGCTCCAAAGCTTGTCTTGCCACTGCAGCATGCGATCTCTCAGGAGTTAGCTGCATGGGTGGGGCTGGAGTCTGAGTTTTGTTACTTCTCAATGGATAGTTCCCTCTTGGACATCGCACCTTATTTTGGTAGAAAGTCTTTTTTTTTTTTTTTAATTGTGCTTTAGGTACAAATTTACAGAGCAGAGTTTGTTTTACATTGAACATTTCATGTTTTTTTTTTTGTACTGATCTATGTCATGTGATGGGGTCTTGGGTGAAGAAGTGATGATAATGAGATTGACAGTCCTGTCAGCAGCTTGAGGCTCATGTCCTGTTTGTTGTTTTCTCCTGTAGAGTGTATATCCCCTGTATCTATGTGTTAAATAAGATTGATCAGATCTCCATTGAAGAATTGGATATCATCTATAAGGTGCCTCACTGCGTTCCCATCTCTGCTCACCACCGCTGGAATTTTGATGACCTTTTGGAAAAAATCTGGGACTATCTGAAACTAGTGAGGATGTAAGTCTCAGTGATTAGGGGACTACTGCTGTAGGAATTGAACCAGATTATCCTAAAGTGATACCCTCTGGGACTCATTAACAAAATCTTCTCCTTTGGAATTATAAACACATTAGTTCCTGACATCTGCTAGGCTCTACTGAAGGTGTTCTCTTTCTCAGGTTGGAGGTTGTCCTGACCTGATCTTCTCAGGTTTGCTGGAGGGTGGGTTTGCTTTCAACACATGAAACATTCCAAGCAGAAGGCAACCTCTGTTCCCTCTGTTCCAGTTACACCAAACCCAAAGGCCAGTTACCAGACTACACGTCCCCGGTCGTACTGCCCGACTCTAGGACCACGGTGGAGGATTTCTGCATGAAGATCCACAAAAATCTTATCAAAGAATTTAAATAGTGAGTATACCAAGCTTGTAGTACCTCCTTTTCTGATTTCATTAACGAGAAATTCTTAGGGTAGCTTTGAGGAAACCGCGCAGGTGGGGCCTGGCGCAGTGTTTGCTCGGTTGGGGCTCAGCAGCGGCTTCTCAAAGCCATGCCGGTTGGAGCAGGGCGAGCCCAAGGAACCTCTTCAGAGGAGGTGGGCCCTGACTGGTCCTCATGAGGGTTTGTCGTGGTTTCTTACAACCTTCCTTGTGCTGAAGTTTGCTTATGATGATGAAATTTATCATTTCATTTATTAGCTGTGAACTAGACTGTCTGCTAAGCTGCTGTGTTGTGAGATAGTTAAAAGAGAGTAGATTCTCCCTGCACTCCCAGAAATAATCCTTCTCAGAAACCTTGTAGACTGTCTTACAGAACTGAGAACAGACTAGGCCTGGTCTGTTTTCTCAGTCTACAGGGATGTAGCTGAATACTTACTCCAGGAAATATTACTACTGTGAAAATTTTTCCTCTTTCATGCCATTCATCTTCCTCGTGACAACCACAAAGTTGCATTCCTGCCAGCATCGTGCTGTCCTCCTTTGGATATGGAATCTCCCTGGGAAATGCTAGCTTAAGGACGGGCAGAACCCCTTCTTTCTCATATTTTCACTGTGGGTATTGGCTAAAAGATATTTTTTAATGTTTATTTTGAACTAATTTTAGACTTCCAGAAAAGTTGCAGAAATAGCATAGAATGTTTCCTTGTCTCTCTCACCCCACTTCTGCTAATCACATAACCATAGTACGATGGTGGAGAACAGAAAATGAACATGAGGATAATATTATTAATTAAACTATAGACCTTATTTGGATTTCACCACTTGTTCTGTCATTGAGTATTTTTTTGTGTTTCAGGGACTTTATCCAGTATCCCACATGGCATTTACTTATTTTTCCTTAGTCTTCCAGTCTGTAACAGTTCCTTAATCTTTCATGAGTTTGACACTTGCTCCTTTGTAGAATTATCCTTAACTTGAGTTTTTTCTGGAGTTTTCTCATGAATGAAGTGAGGTTAAATGCATTTTTGTTAAGAATACCTTAAAAATGATGACTTGTCCTTCTTGGAAGATCAACATCCCAGGTCTGTGATGTGTCTTACAGAGAGTAATGCTTACCTTAATCACTTGGTTAAGATGGTATTTGCTGGGTTTCTCCATTGTAAAGTTCTACTTTTCTCTTTGCACATCTGATAAGTGTCTTGGGGGAGACACTTTGAGATTATGCAAATCCCGTTTCTTCAAATTTTCACTCCCTGATTTTGGCTTCCATTGGTAGAGTTTGTCTGCAGCATTTATTGCTGTGATATTTGTGATTTTCTGTTTTCCTCTTTCGTTTCGCAATTTTTTATTGGAATTCTACCCAGCTATCGCTTCTCTCCTAGTTACTTATTCAATCCGTAAGTTTATATACAGTTAATTGTAATTCCAGTTCAGCACTGTAGGGTTCATTTTAGCCTCCCCTCTTTTCTTATTTTTAATTTCTTTCTCCAACATAAGAAACTTGACTGTCCGTTATCTACAATCTACTTAATATTTTGTTTAATTGTAGTGTACATGGGAGCTCTGGTGGCATAGTGCCTAAGACATTTGGCTGCTGCTAACCAGAAGGCTGGTTGGTGGTTCAAACCCACCAGCCACTCCTTGGAAGGAAGACTGGGCAATCTACTTCCATAGAGGTACTGCCTCGGAAACACAAGGAAGGGTCACTGTGAATCAAATTAACTCGATAGCAGTGGGTTATAGTATATATAGTTTCAGACTTGCAACCCATATACCCCTTTGGGAAATACTTGTACTTAATTACAGCATTCATGAATGGTTCATCTTTATAGGTCAGAAATTTCAAAATAGTTCTAAAAACAGAAGAAAGTGGGAAATAATTGTAGGGAAGCATAGAAGTAGTGAAATTTGTGAAAGTATTGATTCTGGTCTAAGAGTAGAGAGAGAAGGAAGGTCCTTTTAAATTCTAAGATAACTACATTCCATATGCTTTTGTGTGCCATTGAATTAGTTCTGACTCATGGCCATCCTATAGATCAGAGTGGAATTGCCTTACAAGGTTTCTAAGGCTATATATAAGTCTTTATGGAAGCAGACTGCTATACCTTCTCCTGTGGAGCAGCTGATGGATTTGAACTGCTGACCCTTTGGTTAACAGCTGAGCACTTAACCAGTCCACCAGGGCTCCTTCACATTCCACATAAAAGTGCTAATTTCTACTTGAACTATATATACTTCGGCACTTTCTTGAGTCAGTTAAAAAAACCTTTTGGCAAAAGTCAGACTTTGTCCCTTTTCAATTTTTTTATTTCTATATAACCCCTGTCCTCTCCCATTAGTTCCTTCCACGATGGCAGAATGCTGTCCAAAGCCCCCAGAACGGTAAGGTGGCAGGTGGCAGGGTTAAAGGAGAGTACAGTATTTTAGGGAACGTACATATCAAAGCAAATAGAATTTTATTTAGCAGTGTTTTCCTGTTTTTTATTTTCTTTAAATTATTACACAAACAGCATTTTAGCATCTTAATAATAGGAAAAAAAAAGCCTCAGTACTTCCAAGTATAACATTTGTCCCTGTCCCATTCTCTATGTGTCCTTGTCTATATGGACACACAGGCCTTTTTTTTTTAAATTGTGGACATATATACATATTATATATGTTGTTGTTTGTTGTTATGTGCCGTCAAGTCGGACCTGACTCATAGTGACCCCTCCTTGGGTTTCCGAGGTAGTCTGGTAGCATAGTGGCTAAGACACTTGCCTGCTAACCAGACGGCTGGCGGTTCAAACCCACCAGCCACTCCTCGGAAGGAAGGTTGGGCAATCCTACTTCCGTAGTGATACTGCCTTGGAAACCCAAGGAAGGGTCGCTATGAGTCGGGGCCGACTTGACGGCACATAACGGCAACAACAGCAACATCACTATGGAGTAGGTTGCCCAACCTTCCTTCCAGGAAGTCACCTCTGTAGGACAGAGTAGAACTGCTCTGTAGTTTCCAAGGCTGTAAATCTTCACAGAAACAGACTGCCTCATCTGTCTCCTGTGGAGCAGCTGGTGGCTGGAACCGCTGACCTATAGGCTAACAGCCAAGTGCTTGACCATCGTGCCACCAGGGCTCACAAGCACTGTCTTTTCCCCTTTAAGTTTTTTACTCTAGAAGTAGGTTTTATGATTGTTATGGCTTCTGTTATGTATCACTGCCTTGGTTTCCACAAGGCTGAACCAGTTTGCATTGCCATTAGCCAAATAGGAGGCACTGACTTTGTTGCAGGCATTGAGTGTGATTGCTAAAAACTAGTTTTCTAGTTTAAATTAGTAAAATGGTCGCTTTGCATTTGTTTAAATGTATTTGCTTTTCACTTCAAAAACGATACCTATGTTTATTTAATCAATTCTATTGTATCCGTTCTTAATAGTTATCTCTCTCCTCTTTTTTCATTATTTCTAGTTTAATGATTTCTTTTCAAAATACAGATATTTTTAAGAGTTTTGGCTCAGAGACAGTAACAATATGGCCACCACTGTCTACCCTAGACACAGTGTTAACTCTCAGCCTCTGCGAGACACAGGTCTCAGTGTCTCGCTGATCGATTTCCATCCCTATCACAGCATGCTAGTATTAGAGGCCTATGGGTACAGAATACCTTCATACATTCCGAGAAATCAGTAAACCACAAAAAAACAAACTCATGGCCTTCGAGTTGATTCTGACTCATAGCGATCCCCTTTGGGTTTCTGAGGCAGTAAATCTTTATGGAAGTGGATTGTCCAGTTTTCTTCTGTGAAGTGGCTGGTAGGTTTGAACTGCCAGCCTTCTGGTTAGCAGTCAAATGCTTTAGGCACTGTGTCACCAGAGCTCCTTAAAAAATTAGTAGGATACATCAATACAGTTTCTTGATAGAGCAGAGTATTTTCCTAGCATAGCTGAAGGAGGGAAGTCCTGTTTTTCTTATCAGTTGTACCACTGGTAGTTTTAGTATAGCCAATTAAGAGGGAGTATTTTGTAACAAGGGAAGCTCTGGTAGCGTAGTGCCTAAGGCACTTGACTGCTAACCAGAAGGCTGGCGGTTCAAACCCATCAGCCACTTCTCAGAAGGAAGGTTGGGCAATCTACTTCTGTAGTGATACTGCCTCGGAAAACTAAGGAGTGGTCACTATGACTCAGGTCCGACTTGACAGTACATAACAATACAGCACAACACTTTCTGTAATAGTCTGTAACTGACATTTCCATATTTAGGTATCAGTCTCCAATCTGAATTATTTTAGGGTATTTCTTTTTAACAAACTCATTTCAAGCTAGGCTTGTTAGACTGCTTATTTGTTCTTTTTCCTCTTTGATTTTCTTAAGCAGGCTGGGGGATAAGAGGAACCACACTCCAGAAGTGTAAGCCTTGTACGCAGGAAGCTCCAGTGTGCCGTGCTGCCAAGGGAAAGTCCAGGCTTTGAGTGTGGTGCTTGAGCTTGGGAGAGGGCACTTGGCTGTTGACAAGCTTTTGGCTCTTAAGAGCTGGGATGTAGAATCTGAGCAGAAGGGGTACCTGGGCAGATCGGACAGGCACTAGATTTTCCTTTTCACTGACTGTTCTTTTCTCCCTTCCATTCAGTGCTCTGGTCTGGGGTCTCTCTGTGAAACACAATCCTCAGAAAGTGGGTAAAGATCACACGTTGGAGGACGAGGATGTCATTCAGATCGTGAAGAAGTGAAAGCTTCCCTTTTCCCCACTGCCGGGCCTACGCGGCAGCAACGTTCCCCACGACCAAGCACCTTCCCCTAAACCCCGTCTCAGCTTTGGCAGCTGTCGGATTAGGATTCAGGGGAGGGAGATGGAAACACCCAAACTGGAACTTCACTTACCTTGGTGTTACACACCCTGTATGTTGAACTGCATAAAGGATCTGGTCTGATGGCCGGCTACGTGCAGTTCATGTGTCAGAATGAGAATTCATTTGGGAATGAACTCTAAAGGGGAGGAGGGTATGTACGTTGAGACAGTTGATTATTCTCTACAAGGTTAGCCCATTTTGGGCGATGGTGTAGTGTGGCAATTGAATTATGTACCCTGACCAGACAGGGTCTGAATTGCAGACCCACTTCTAATCATCTGAACAGTTACTCAGCTTTTTTGAGCCTCATGTGTCCTTGTGTAACATGGGGATAGTAGCAGCACTTACTTTCTAGAGTGATGATTATTAGTGTTAAAGGAGATAGTACTGGTGAACTGCTTAGCACAGTATCTGGCATATAAGCACTTGGTGAATGTTGGCCCTTGTTACTGGCCCTTCCTTTCCCGGGCTTCCTGCCTGCTTTAGTGTGACCACAGCTGTAATCAGTACTGTGCTCAGTGCTGAGCTGAGACATGCTGTCAGCTGGACCACTGAGCATCTCTTTTCCCATAGCCCAAACTTGCTGCTTGAACCCCATGACAGTCTTGTTTTCAGCCACATAACAAAGGCATTATCAGAAGTTTTGGGGGCCAGGGGTAATGGAATTTGAAGGGATCACTTTGGTAATAAAAATGAAATGTGCAAAGACATGGAGTTAGAAAATCAGAAGGGAGGAACACGCTCACCATTTCTCAAGCTGAAAGAACTGAAGGAAAAATTCAAGCCTCAAGTTGCAATACTAAAGAATTCTATGGGCAAAACACTGAACGACGCGGGAAGCATTAAAAGAAAATGGAAGGAATACGCAGAGTCACTGTACCAAAAAGAGTTTGTTGATGTTCCACCGTATTTTAGGAGGTAACATATGATCAAGAACCAATGATATTGAAGGAAGAAGTCCAAGCTACACTGAAGGAATTGGCAAAAAACTAGGCTTCAGGAACTGACAGCATATCCATTGAGATGTTTCAACACACGAATGCAGTGTTGGAAGCATTCACTCGTTTATGCCAAGGAATTTGGAAGAGAGCTATCTGAGTAACCTACTGGAAGAGATACTTGTGCCCATTCCAAAGAGAAATGATCCACCAGAATGCATTATATGGAACAGTATCATTAATATCACATGCAAATAAAATTTTGCTCAAGGTAATTAAAAAACAGTTGGAGCAATATATTGACAGTGAGCTGCTGGAAATTCAAGCTGGATTCAGAAGAGGATGTGGGACAAGGCATAGCATTGTTCATGTTAGATGGAGCTTGGCTGAAATTAGAGAGTACCAGAAAGATGTTTACCTGTGTTTTGTTTACTATGCAGAGGCATTTGACTGTGAATCATAACAAATTATGGAAAACATTTAGGAGAATGGGAATTCCAGAATACTTAATTGTGCTCATGAGGAACCTGTGCATAGACCAAGAGGCAGTTATTTGAAAAGAACAAGGGATACTGCACAGTTTTAAATCAGGGAAGGTGTGTGTCAGGGTTGTGTCCTTTCACCGTACTTAATCTGTATGCTGAGCAAATAATCTGAGACACTGGACTGTATGAAGAAGAATGTAGTGTCGGGAATGGAGGAAGTCTCAACAATCTGATGACACAACCTTGCTGAGAGTGAAGAAGACTTGAAGCACTAATGAAGATTAAAGACTACAACTTTTGGTATGGGTACACTTCATTAAAACATAAATCCTTACAACTGGACCAATAAACAACGTGATAAATAGAGGAAAGATTGAAGTTGTCAAGGATTTCATTTCACTTGGATCCAGTCAGTACCAATGGAAGCAACAGTCAGGAAATCAAATGGTGTATTGCATTGGGCAGATCTGCAAAAGACCTCTTTAAGTGTTAAAGACCAAAGATTTCACTGTGAAGACTAATGTGTACCTGACCCAAACTATGTTGTGGTCAGTAGTCTCATGTATGTGAGAGCTGAACAATGAATAAGGAAGACTGCAGAAGAATTGTGTTTGAATTTTGTTGAAGAACAGTGAATATACCATAGATCGCCAGAAGAACTAACAAATGTGTCTTGGAAGAAGTACAGCAGGAATGTTCCTTAGAAGTGAGAATGGCCAGACTTTGTCTCTCAGGCTTTGGTTATGCCATCAGGAGGGGCCAGTGCTGGGAGAAGGGTATCGTGCTTGGTAAAAAAAAAAAAAAGGGTCAGCAAGGAAGGGGAGGACCAAGATGAGTTGAATTGACACGGTGGCTGCAATAATGGGGTCAAGCATGGTAATGATCTTGAGGATGGCACAGTATTGGACAGTGTTTCATTTTGTCGTATATAGGGCTGCCGTGAGTTAAAACTGACTTGACGGCACCTAACAACCACTACCATTCTGATAACGGGAAACCATTTGGCAAAATTCTTGGTCTCATGGGCTGTGCTCATGAGAATATGGGCAGAGATAGGGTGTGGGCTCAGGTACAGAGAAGAAATGTAAACTTGGTAACTGACTTAGTCTTTAGGGGAAGTGAAATCAAAGATTATTTTCGTATGGACCCCACAGATGATAGCGTACAGTAAACAAATGAAGAGCCGCCATGTTGCTGTTGGTCAGCTCCTGCTCACCAAGGCCTTGTGTGTACACCCTGAGGGAATCGGGGAGGGGACCTACTTGCAGGAAGTTTGATTGTAGATGAAGCAAGCTGCAGCTTGTAGCAGATTCTGAGTGATGGAGATAAGGGCTAATACACATACTGGCCTTTCTCCAGTGCTTGTTCCTCCTCCTGCCCTAAGGAGAGATTTTTCTGTGGTGGTCTTCCTGGAGCTTGAGCTTAGCACTGTCCCCAGACTGAACAGATTAGCCCCTTGGGACTCTCAGGCCTGGTATCCCAGTCTCCTTTGAGGAGTTTAACATAGAGGCCAGGTCATAATCTAGAGCCTGCCCCAACTCGTCAGGGAAATACTGGCTTCCTGAGCTATGGGATTTCCAGCAAGATGTGCCATCTAGCAAGAGCATTCTGGGTTTTAGAGGAATTCTCAGGCAAAATTCATTTTCGTTGAGCCAGCATTTAGCACTGTTAGGGTGTGGCAGAGAGAAGATTGCGGAAACCCTTGCTTCTGTGGTTCAGCACCCTGTCCCCCTCAGCCTGTGGTTTGCCAGTGCTTAAGATACCCTACTGAACCCCTTTGGGCTTAGACTTGGCAGTTCTGGGAGGGCTATATTTTTGTGTTAGGCACGCTTCCAGGGCAGGGCTTCAGGACAGTGCTTTGGTTTTAGTGAATGGTTTTGTCCTTGTGAAATTAGTGGTTTGGTTGTTAGCATCCTGGCTTGAATGTCCTGTTCCATGGTGTTTCTCTCCTAACCTTAGCAGAAATGAGCCAACCCATTAGTCTCTGCCATTAATTAGCTAGAGTACTTTTAGTTGTACTTAACTGGAAGCATTAACCGCTGAGATGGAAAGAACCTTGGTCTCTCACATACTTGTTTGGAGCTCAGGTGGGAACTTGGGGTAGCTGTCATGTCATTGAGGATCCATATTTACATCAGGTGACTGTCCTTTTCACCTTGTTGGCTTTGTGGGGCAGCTGGTTTACCTCATGGCCATAGAATGTTTGGCACAGTCCCAGGCCTTACATCCAGAATCCAGTGGATGATGAAAGGGGTTGAATCTTGTCTGAGAAGCCATTTCCCAGAAGCCCCCAGCTGATTTGTCCTGGGTCTCATGGCTTACATTGGGTCACGTGCCTGTTCCCAGCCCACGGTAAAGTGAATCAAATGATTTAAGAACCAGCGTTGACCCTGTACGTTACCTCTATTCCTGTTTGTGCTTTCACAGAGATCCATGAACCCGACTTCCTTGCCCTCTTAAGGCAGAGCTTGGCTTAGGAGACCCTGGAGGAGGCCTGGCCACACTCCATTCATTGTATTCCTACTTCTTATTGATACCCATTGACCTCCAAGCACTAGCTCTTGGTGCTTTCAGCTGGAAGGCAATATTCTTACTTTCTACCTACCTGACCCCACTCCTTAAAGGTAGATTTTCCATTAGGTTCTCTGTGGCCCCTCTGCTCCTTTACTTGGAAGATGCCTTCCCCATTCTTAGCTTGTTTGAACCTTTATTTTGTACCTCTTTCCAGCCTGATTTTTTCTGAATCCCAGTCATCATACCTGTTAGATTTCCCAGAGTTGCTTCAAAAGACATCTCCTTGTTGGCTGAGACAACAGTTGCTCCCTCCTTTCACCCTCTATCAGCTAAACTGTTACTAGCTCCTGAAGACTTCATTAGTGTCCTGATTCGCTCCCATCCTCACCTCTAGTCTGTCATGTCTACCAGCAGTTTTTAGTATAACTTGTATGTCTAGCTTCTGTGCTGATACCCTACCAGTTCTTCCTTAATTCCATTCAGGCTCCACCTCACTAAGGATTTGTCATTTGCTTGGTGCCTATGTTTGTTGTTACATGCACCATCAAGCTTCTGTCCTGAAAAGGAAGCCTTTATTGGCAACTCTAATCCAAGCTCCCTGCCATACACCTACTGCTGTTGTTCCCACAGGAAAGGTAGAACTGGATTCAGGCATCTGTGTTTTGCTACCATCACTTGGGGTTGCATTCCACTTTCCACCTGTGGTAAGAAAGCACTTGAAAGAATTCTAACCATAGGATCTATTTTTAAAGCTGAGGAGTTGGTCACACTAAGAATAAATGGTATGGGGCCTAATGAAGTTGAGAAAAGTCCCACGAAGAGAGAGACCTTATGGTCAATCCACAGACTGGTGACCTGCTTTCTTGTGTTGCTGGAAGCATAGGGTGGGGTGCGTAGGCTCTAGGTTTATAACCAACACTTCATGTGCTCAGACCTTGGCTTCGACCTTTGTAGTCAGCATCCACCTTGCCCTTTCCTTCTGTGTTAAAAAACTGACTCATCATTTGACCTCCAGTGTAATTAGTAGCTTTTGTGGCCCCAAATGGACAAATCAGTAACTCATCCCCAGCTTGAGAAATACTAAGTATTGTCACTTCAGGTAAACAGGAATGGCAAATGTTCAGTGGGGAGTGGACGCCCAAGAGCCTACAGTGTCTGTT